GCTGGGACCTGGCCCGAGACCTTCACCCCAGGTTGCACAGGCCCCTGCCTCCTGCCAGCCTTGCCCCGTTGCCGGACCTCAGAGCCCAAGAAACTCACATCCACAAGTACAACCAGGAGGCTGCTTTTCATTTTCAATCCAAAAAATAAATAGTCTTAAGGGCAGGAAATGACTGCCCGCTTCTTGGGACTCTGTGTGGCTTTCCACATGTCATGTCACCTCCCTGGGTCTTCGTTTACTGATCTATAAAATAGGCCCATAACAGCATCTGCCTCTCAGCTGGGACAATGACACGAGGAACGAACGTGACAGCACTTTGTAAACTGTGGAGTGCTGTGCACACCCAGGAGCTGGTCTTCCCACTGGGCGGGATGATCTGCAGACACGTCTGACCCAGAAACTAAAAGGAAAACCATTGATGGTGTCACTAAAATGTGTGGTTTGGCATTACCTACTGGAATGTGAGCGGGTTACAGACAAAAAGAGTTGACAATAAGTCATTTTGAGGTGTCCCCGGAGCGATGGTTCCCTCCACTGGACATGTCACTGCTGCCATTTTCCTCAGAGAGCTCAGGGGCCGTGATGAGCCTGTCCAGTGGTGGGGCCTGGCTGTGCCCAGGGCACAGACCCTCACTCCCATGGTGCCCTGGGTGAGAACCCCAGCCACACTGGGCCTTGTGGACTCCAGTCCTGATTGGCGCTCCTCCTGTGCCCACTAACATGTCTCCACCCTTCTTCCCTGTGCTAGCCAATGAGGACCCCTGCTGGAAGGTACGTGTCCCCTCTCTTCATACCTGGGGGGTGGGCCATGCTTCCCACAGTCCAGGTAGGGTCACTCCTGGCAAGGAAGGGCCCCCAGTGTCCTGCTGTGCTGGAGTGGAGCAGAGGGCCTTCAGACTCTGTCCTCAGTGCTAAGGGCTTTGCACCCAGTCCACTTCCCCACCTGCCGGGCAGCCGGGCGTCGCCATGGGGGGCAGCCCACAGGTTCAAACAGGAGCCTTCCCTGCTCAGCACTGAGGATGTACTGAGCCACAACGCCCGAGGGCACGCGGCCAGTGCTGGGCTCTGACTGGACTCTACCTGGCTCTCCCTGGCCTTACTGTGTGGTCCTGGGCAGAGCTGCCCCTCTCAGGCCCTCACTGCCCACCCCTCGAGGGACTAAGCTTGGTAGTCCCCAGGGTCTGCCCCCAGGCCCACATTGCTGTGCTCCTGTGAGCCCCCAAAGCCCACGCATACATCACGTGCCTGCTTCCCACGATACTGGCTGGTCTTGACCTCACTTAAGGGCATGGCCTCAGAATTTATTCAGTGATTTTCTTTAGTAAGTTTCAGATCTAATTTCTAAAAAAATATTCAGTCCCATATGCCTGTAATGGTCAAGCCACTAAGAAGCAATAGGTGATAGGTAAAACGCTGGTTAAACTGTGTTATTTGTCAAAATAACGCTGCAGCGTCACAGATCGGTGCTGGTGGGCCTGGCAGTGTCTGTCTGCAGCTGCCCTGTGCTCAGCCAATGCCAACTTGCGGACGGGACACCTGGAGCCTGAGCCGGTTCCCACGGAGCTCACAGTGCCCAAGGGGCCTTGGTTTCGAGGGAGGAGACCCCGATATTCATCGGGGCCCCACCTCCAGCTCACTGTGTGACCTCAGGCAGGTGGCTCTTAAACTGAAATGAGAGGTGAGGGCGGGGTCTCGGAGGCCTCAGTCAGTCTGCCGCCCCCTCCTTGGGGACAGCCCTGGGACCCAGTGTCCTCGTGGCGTGGGTCACCCCAAGTGAGAGCCTTCTGGGCCCTTCCACCTCTGAAGACGGACGATGCTGCTGACACACGGGGAGAGAACCGACATAACATGCAGGGAGAAGGGTTCTGTTGGGTTTGTGCGGGTCGTCGCCGGAGTGGTTGGTTATGAACGGCTTCTCGTGCCCTCAGGGCTGCCCACAGTGCAGCTGAGACTGGAAAGGCAGTGAGCTCCCTGTCCCTAGAAGTGTGTAAGCAGAGACTCGACAACCAAATGATGATGACTGTGTACAGGGGGCATTGGAAGTTCCCTCATCCTGGGGAGAGGGGAAGCGCCCCTTTACTGGGCTCCTACAGCTCATGCTGTGGATGCTTTGTCCTGTTGAGTCTCCCAACAACCCGTGGGGGCAGGTATCCTTAGCCCACGTAAACACATGTGGAAACAGAGAGTGCAGTCACCCACTCAGGATGCTGGGGACTCCAGGTTAGATTGAGGTGCTGTTAGGAGGATTGACGGGACCGTGAATACCGAGCATCCAGCCGCAGGCCAAAGCCTGCCTCCCCGCGGCAGTGGACACACGAGGACCCTATAGAGGGGGGCTTCGTGAGCACTGGCCTCCCCTCTTCCCCCAGGATATGGGCTTTTGATACAATTCAGACCCCAGCGGGGACTGTTTCCTAAGCCACTGCAGGACCCCTGCCCTGCCCCCCACACCTGGAGTCCTGGTCTCGGTGGAAGAACAGGACCCAGGGAGCCGCCCCGTGCCCGACCCGTCGGTGCGCTAGAACCCTGCTGCTCCTGGTTTCCAGGCCTGTTCCCCTACGGTTGGTCGCTTTCGTCGCCTTCGGGCGTATCCCTCCCTCCCAGGCCTGCTGAGAAAAACTAACTGGGTCACAAGCAGGTCAAGGTGGCAGCTGCCAGGGGCTCCCACCCCCGCTTCCGCCCGGCTGACCCACCTGCTGCCCTCGTGTTTCAGAACGAGATCACCCACGATGAGCACTGTGCTGCCTGCAAGCGAGGAGCCAACCTGCAGCTGTGCGGCACCTGCCCGGGGGCCTACCACCTCAGCTGCCTGGACCCGCCCCTGAAGACAGCGCCCAAGGGCGTGTGGGTGTGCCCCAAGTGCCAGCAGAAGGTATGGCGGCGGCGGTGCCCGGGTGGGTGAGCCCCTCTCCCTGCGCAACATCAGAATGCTGCTCAACCCTGTGCTTCCTGGGTGGCCCCTGTGGTGGGCAGAGACAGGGGGGGCCGAGGAGGGGTGAGAGGAGGGGCTGGCTATAGAAGAGGGTTCTCAGCCTTGGCGCAGTTGATGACACAGTGGACGTCTCGGGCTGGATAATGCACTGTGGGGCCATCATGTGTGGAGTGAATACTTCCGAGTGTTAGCATTGTGTGTGGCCAGGTGGCAGGAGGGGCAGTGCCTTTTTTAAAGGATGCTTTTCCACAGAATGTCTTACTTGTAAAATAATAAGGGAATTACCTTTATTTCAAGAAACACCAACTCTGGTGAATTCCTCCATCCCAGGTTTTGTGGAGACCTAGGGAGAGGTGGGTACATGGGGCTGTCCCCTGTGGGGGCGGCCAGCCCTGCTTTCTGACTGCCTGTGTGAGGGGTCACAGCTCTTTGAGGGGATACGTAGTGGGAACAAGTTCCTGTTCCCCATTTCAGCACTGGGTCCCCCATTTGTCCCCGGCTGCCCTCAGGTCACTGGGATATGTTTGGGGTCCTGGCGATAAGCAGGTTCCTGCCGTCGTGGGGCTGCAGTTCTTACGGAGCAGCCGGTGTGAGCCAGACCACGAGGCAGGTGTGACCCCGTCCCCTGGGCAGTTGAGGGACGTGGGGTTACACAGCCAGGGCATGGCGGGCAGGTCCCAGCCTGTCTGCGTTCTCATTTTCCCTCTGCCCTCCAGGCCTTAAAGAAAGACGAAGGTGTGCCCTGGACCGGGATGCTGGCCATTGTGCACTCCTACGTCACCCACAAGACAGGTAGGACGCCCTTAGGGAGTGGGAAAGGACACCTACTCCCTTCTCTCCAGCCCCTCCCCCGGCCTCTGGACTCCCCTGGGCCCATCAGAGGCTCCTCTGGGCCACAACTCTGAAAAGAGGGACCCTGGGACTGGTCCTGTGTGCAGCGCACTCACAGTGGGAGGGTGGCACTCTAGACCCCGTGCATCCAGTTGGGGCGGCTGGCTCCTGCCAGGTGTGGCGGGAACCTGTAGGCATCGGCCCCTCCTCTCTCATGGCGCCGCCACGGCTGACCTGCCCCTGTCTCTCCTAGTCAAAGAAGAGGAGAAGCAGAAGCTGCTACAGAGAGGCAGCGAGCTGCAGAGCGAGCGCCAGCAGCTGGAGGAGCGGGACCGGCGCCTGGCCTCGGCGGTCAAGGTGTGCTGGGGGAGGGGAGGGGGGCAGGGGACAGGGGGCGAGCTGCCCTTAGACCACAAGGCTCAGATCCAAAGCTTCGCCGTCAGGTTACTGAGGCCCCAGAGGAAGTCAGACGTGCCAGGATCACTCAGGCAGTCAGGAGGCGGAGCATGAGCTGTGACTCCTTCAACAAAGCCATTGGGTGTCTGTCAGGTGACTGAGTGCCCAGCCCTCCTCCGTCCCAGCTCTGTGACCTCCGCCAGGCCCTGGCTGTTTCTGAACCTGTTTCCTGTTGTATAAAATGAACCCTCTCCTCTGGAGGGTGGTGATAAACAAGACGATAGTGACGGTGATGATGGGGTGATGGTGATAATGATGGTAACTGCAGTGCCGCGCCCTGGTAGAACGCGTTGAATGTACTATCTCATTTAACCATGTGAAGATGCTCTGATTACGCCTATCTCAGAGTTTTGGACACAGTCTCAGGGCGTTTTAATTATTTGCCTGAGCAACAAGTAACTGAAGCTCTTAACTCGAGGTATCAGCCCTTAGTGCTTTACTGTGTTGCCATAATACATATAAAGGCGAGAAAAAAGACAAGAACACAGCAGGCAAGAGAAACAGCAGAAACCTGGCTGCAATCTCAAGGTTTTCAGCAGCTGCCACAGCCGTTCCAGAGCTGGCGCTGAGCCTCCTCCAGCAGGAGAAACAGATGTGGTCAGCGAGGTGGCGTCCCACCGTGAGGGACAATACTCCTGCATGAGCACGTGTCTAGCCCTAAGTCCAAAAACAAACGTTGGTGCCTCTGGCTGCGGTTTAATTCCATTTTAGGCTGCTGCCTGGTTTTTGTGAGGCCCTCTGCCTGGTTTCTTTCAGGCCTCTGCGGCGGAAGGGAAGGGGCTTTGGGAGAGGACTGAGGGCTGGCCACCCCAGGAGGCCTGCACCGTTGAGGTCTGAGACCCTTCTCTTTGAACTCCTCTCCCCCGACAGAAATGCCTGGAGCTTAAGACGAGCCTGCTGGCCCGGCAGAGGGGCACCCAGTCGTCCTTGGACCGCCTGCGGACCCTCCTGAGACTGATACAGGGCGAGCAGATGCTCCAGGTCACCATGACGACCACCAGCCCCGCCCCGATGCTGGCTGGGCCCTGGACCAAGCCCTCTGCAGCAGCCATGCACTCTGCCCTCCAGCATCCCCAGGGGCACAACTGACCCCGAGGGACCCGTCCTCACACCCACGGAAGCCACTGGGACCCTGCTCACAAGACCTGAGGGTTCTGTCAGCCTTAATTCATAAACGCTATGAATTTCAGACAAGTATAAAACCAGAAAGAGAGCGAGACAGAGGACAGAAGGGAGAAGCAGCTGGGTGAGAGTCCTGATCCTGGAGGCCGGACAGGTGGAGACACAGCCCTAAACCCTTTGCGTTCAGACAGGACACCCGGAAGCCAGGTGGGGCCCACAGTCGGCCTGGCTGTGCTGGGACTGCCCAGGCCTCCCGCTTCCGGCACAGCGTCCCCACGGCCTCGTGTGGAGGGGCCGGGGCCCCCCAGCTGCAGGCCACTGCCTGTCCAGTGTCCTGCGGGGAGGGAGCCGAGAACCCAGACGTAGCTGAGTAGAACAGTTAGTTGGGACAGAAGTGGGTAGCGAATCTAGGTAGGACTCCGACGTCCCTCCCTCACAGGGGCCCACCCCTGGGCCTGGGCCCTCCCAGCGCCTTCCCAGAATGCCCGGGCCCCTGTCTGTCAGTATTATTAGCGTTAAGGATCACAGCTGTCTAACTTGAAACTGAGCGACGTGCGTTCCAAGGGGACGCTGCCGTGTACGCCTGCCAGGGCCTCCGTCCCCGTCCCCAGCGTTTCGGGGTGCCCTCACCGCCATGCGCCTCCTTCCTCCTGCTGATCCTTTGGACTCTGCTATCATGTATTTTTCTCATGGAGTTTTTGGGCAAGAGGGAGCTGCAAGCATGCAGGGAGGCATTTGGCAGCTTTTCTATTTTGGGTTGAATCCTTCAACTTTCGACTGAAGCCTTTTATTTTCTCCTTTCGAAGAGCCGATAAAGCATTCCATTCCTCTTTTCTTGCCAGTACAGACACTATGCCAAAAAATAACTTTACATTTTTATATGGCGTTTTTATTGTAAGATATTTAATGTGAAGGGGGGGGACACTCGCTGACTTCTTTTTCTGCTCACAGTGGTCTCTGCTGCACGGTACGAATGGGAAACCCATCCTGGGGGACTGCCAGACTGGAGACATCCAGGGGGGTGTTTAAGAAGTGGGGTGAGGGTGGGGGAGGGAGAGAGGGCGGTGGCCTCAGGAGGGTTCGGCTTTGGAGACTCGAGCCCCTCTTTGTGCTGGCTCCTTGAGAGCTGAGGGTACGCTCGCTGCCTTAAAAGGGCTCCCGCGTCCCGGGGTGGGTCGTGCCAGCTCTCACCAGCCCCGACGGACTTAGCACAACACGTGAGCGCCCAGGAGCCACAGGGCTCCCGCCCCCAGCATATCACACGGTGCCGAATTGCATTGAACACACACTGTGCGTGTGCGCACACGGCCCCAGACATGCACGCACACACGCATGCAGACAGGTGCAGGGCAGGGAGGCTGGCCAGAATCCCACAGACCCACACGGTCCCTCCTGCCATTGTCACGACTCCGGGAGAAACTGTGCTGTACGATACAGATCTATTTTAATACACAACACTGGGTTGAACAAGATTTTTATATTCTTTTATTGATGAACAAAGTGAGCTGTGAGACACACGTCTTCTATATTGGTTACTGTAGACGCCAATTATGCGTTACCGCGTGGCTTGCGATGTAAATGTCTTCAGGTTTCCTTTTTGTTGGTTTGTTTTCTTCTTGGATGGATTGGGTTCCATTTTTTAAAAATGTAATGGGAGGATATGAAAGGCTGGACCCGGGAGGGGTAGCTGCCGACGTGTCTTGAGACTTAGCTTTTTGGACCAAGGAGGCCCGTCGAGTGGATAGTGAGGATAGAGAACAGTGTTCGTCTTGAATATGCCCGTGTAGTTTCCTTCTGTACGACGCATTAAACTCGATCGATGGTTTCAGATGCCTGTGCCTTCTGTTTCCTTGCTTTCAGCAGAGAGGCCCCTGGGAGCACATGGGGCAGGGAGGTGGGGATTGGAGAGGCCGAAACTCAGGGGGGGAGGAGAGGAGAGGAGAGCTCCAGGGGGCCCTCTACACCCCGATCCTCGCCTCCCCGGAAGTGGCAGGTCCCCTGTGAGGATCAGAACTGATGGTCACCAGTAACAAGCCCACCAGGCCAGGGGCGGTGCAGAGCCCAAGGGCGCTGTCCACACTGCTCCCTCGCTCTTTCCTTCTTTGGGCATATTGGCACCACCTGATGGTCCTGCTTCCTGGGCAGAGTGACATACACAGTCCTACAACCACCCTGGGGCTGACTTCGTGGCCTTTCAAGACGGCGGCCAAACTGGGAAGTCAGACCCCGCATCCTAGCTCTACACGTTGTACGAGGCCCCTGGTTGGCACCGGGAGACTGAGGGATGTGCCGGGATGGGGGGGGCAGGGCTGCCTGGGACCGTCCTGGTCCCAATTGGTCCCGAGTCTCCTGGTTTGACCACTCCAGCCTCCCCTGCCTGATGGCTGAATGCTGGAGGGTCCCAGGTCTCTGCTTGGGCCTGTCCCCTCTTGAACTCCTTGGCTGGCCTTGTCCAGCCTCCCAGCTTTGTGTCTCCACGTTGGTGGCACCCCAACTTGTATCTCCTCTGGACCTCTGCCACGGACTCCAGCTGCTGACATCCAACAGCCTGTGGTCAGCCCCATCGGCTGTCACCACATCCTAAACTTGGCTTGGTCTCCACCAGGCCAGCCCCCCTGCACCAACCCCACTGAGGGGATTCTGCCTTCCTAAAGTGTGGGCCAGCACCCCAGGAGTCACCCGCGGCCCCTGTCACTCTCCACACCCGGTCATCGGCAAATCTGTCAGCTCTGCCCTCAGAATATAAGCATGAAGTGGCTGTGTCTCACCACCCACACCGTCACCTTGGTCCCAGCCCATCATCTCACCTGGATCTGACCTTAACATAGCCTCCCCCCACCCCCACAGCAGCCAGCATGACAATGCCTCAGTTAAAACCCTGTTATTGGGCCGGCCGAGTGGCACGTTGGTTAAGAGCTGGCTTGGGATGCCAGCTCTGAGGAGCAGGGCCCCGGTTCGGATCCCACATGAGGGCCAGTGATGCTGCGCCCTCTACAGCTAAGATGGTGAACAACAGCTCGACCTGGAGCTGGGCTGCTGTGAGTCACCAGCGATGGCGTAGGCTGCTGCAGCCCCTGCTGCAGTGGGCTGCCATAAGCTACTGTGTGGCCGGCCGGCAGCCAGTGTGAACGGCCGGCAGCTGGTGTGAGCTGCCAAGAGCCACCATGAGTGGCCGCCCAGAGGCTGGCGACTGAGCTGCCTCACCTGGGAAGAATGCAATGATAATACCAACGTGGGCCAGTGAAGCAACATCCTCCACAACTAGACTGAAGAACAAAAGGACAGCAGCTTGTCTGTTCCCCTTCCCCTGATTCCCCAGTGCTGTTCCCCTCCCCCAATTCCCCAATAAAATCTTTACAAAAGAAAAAAACAAAAACAAAAAAACCCTGTTATCACTCCCCACCTTTCTTAGCAAAAGCCCAAGCCCCCCAAGGCCACAAGGCCTGCATACTTGGGCCTCCTGGCTGCATTCTTGCTGCTCTCCATTTGCATCTCTCCGAACCTGCCACACGGCCCCCTTGCTCTGCCTGGAACCCACTGGGCATGCGCCTGCAGCCAGACCTTTGCACATGCTGTGTCCTCACCCAGCATGCCCTTCCCTAGCTGTCTTTCTCGCTGCCCCTCCCACTTACTTGGAGACTTGACCACAGTCCCTTCTTAGTGCAGCTGTCCCCCTTAATTAAGAAATTTCCCCTCTTCTTAGACCTTCATCACCTACTTCAATTCACCTTTGATGGTTGTTCTGCTTCACTAAGGTAGGTAGGTCAGTGTCCCTCACCAAATCCCAGCATCTTGAACAGTGCATGGCACACAGTAGGTGCTCAGTAAATACTCATGGAATAAATGAAGGCTCCTTTCTCCAGAAAGAGCTGCTGGGCCTTGGGGCCGCCCCCATCCTGGCTCAGGGACCACCTGGGGGTGCCCTCAGCCCAGCTGCCAGGTCCACTTGGCCTGGGCAGATGAGAGAGCTGAGGTCGGGGAAGTGAAGAAACTGCCCAAGATCCTGCAATTTTGGACCCGGTGAGCCTGTACTGCACCTCATCCCTGTCCTCCAGCTCCGGGAGTTCCAGCACGTCCTACCTCACTCCCCCCGAGAGGTCAGGGGCCTGGGGGATGTTCATGCAATCCTCAGCTCCCTGACCAGGGTGGGAATTCCCTCCAAAGACGCACCCCTTACCGCCCCCTTACTTCCCAGTGATGGGAACCCCTTCTGGGGAAGCCCCTCCATGGGACAGCTCTGCCATGAGAGAAGGGGCCCCAAAGTGTGCGGACACCTGCCTCCCGCAGCTTTGCCCACCCAACCAGTGCCCAGGTAGCCTGTGCACGTGTGCCAGGACAGCCCTCAGGTTGGGACAGCCATGTCTCCAGCACTTCCTCCAACCAGCTCCGACTAACCCAGCCCCCCATGAGCATCCACGGGGCCTCCCAGGATTGGAGGGCCCTCCAGGGCAGGCCGTTGCGATGACCATCCTCTAGGTGGCCTCTGCTCACATGACAACCGTGATGGGGACTCACCGCTTCCCAGAGGGCTCTGCCTGCTGGAACTCTGTCTGAGTTTGGGGGGATGGCCATAACAAAGCACCACAGACCCCAGGGCTTAAACAACAGAACTGTATTCTCTGCCAGTTCTGGAGGCCGGAAGCCCAGGATCCAGGTGCCAGCAGGGCTGGTTCCTTCCGAGGCTGTCGGACAGATTTCCAGGCCTCCCGCCCAGCTTCTGGTGACGTCAGGCCTCCTTGGCTGCAGTTGCTGTCTCGTCTCACCGCTTCCCCTCCGTGGCGCTTGCGGGCCCTCGGGCGTTCCCCGGCCTGTGGACTCATCACCCCTCTCCCTGCCTGCATCTAAACACGGCTTCTCCCTGTGTGCACGTCTGTGTCTACATTTTCCCTTTTCATAAGGACACAGGCATGCTGGATGAGGGGCCGCACAAATGATCTCACTTAAACTTAGTCATCCTACTTCCAAATAAGGTCACTTAAACTTAGTCATCTCACTTAAACTTAGTCATCCTACTTCCAAATAAGGTCACATGTGCAATACAGAAGGTAGAGACCCCACCCTTACGGGGGACAACATTAACAGACCCCTCTCCTCGGGTTGTCTGGAATCTGCCTCGCACGGCTTCTGCCCCCAGCTCCGCTCAGCGCTGCCTCTTTTGCCTTGTCCGCCCCTGCACAGCTCACGGGTTGGAGATGACATGGTGTCACCCTGCTGACGAGCCCATTCCCAGACCACTTGCTCTGTGCCTGCCCACCTGGCTCCTTCCTCGGATCTGCTCTGGTACGTTACAGGCCCTCATGGGGGACGGAAGTGCCGGAATCTAAAGTGACACACCCAGGTCATGCAGCCAGCAAGTGACTTCAACTCCATGCCTGTGCTCCCAGCCATTCTGCTACTCTACCCACCGGACACTTGTCACCTCTCAGGGCATGTGTGAATGGCTGGAGGCCAACCCAGCAAGCCGCACAAATGCCCACTTCTGACCAGGCCACCTTGCTACCCTGGGGCTACAGATAGAGACCTGGCCCTTGGGTGACTCCACGGAGGCATGAGGGGACAGATAAGGGGGTAAGGCTGGCTAAGCACTGCTGACCACACACTGTCCCCCCGTCAGCCCAGAGTGCTTCTTAAACTAAACTCTGCTTTGCCTCCAGTCCCATCTCTCGGAACCCCCATGGCTGCCTGAGAATAGTGCCTGCAGTTTCCTGGTGATGATGCCAGGTGAGTTCTAGCCCCCACCCCAACGTCCTTCTAAATGTGGCCTGGAGCTCCCCCAGGGCTCCCAGGCACATCCCCAGGAGACGTCTGAGCAGGTAACTTGGATCTGAGAGGAGACCGCCTGGCCAAGCCAAACAGTCAGCACCCAGGCAACTGCCACTCACCCCACCCCATCCCCCACCTGCAGGATCCGTCCCGTACAGGACCCCTGGAAGGATCTGCACCGGGGCACAGAGCATGGGGTGCTGGCCACAACTGCTGTTACTTCCGCTGGCCACCTTCTGTATGGTGAGACCCCAAACACAAGGGAGGGTCTGCACCCACCTGCAGGGTAGTGCAGCTCCAAACAGGTCCCACTTTGATGTCCGGTGACAGATCTCCTTGTTGCGGTAGCAGCGGGCAGTTTCCCAGTGTCAGAAAGAGGCTGAGGAAGGCTGGCTCGATGGGGGCGGGGGCGTGCAAGTATGCTGCTGCCCCTGCTTCCTCCCACACCCGGGTTAAGGCAGCAGCAGGGGCTGTTCCCACGGCCTCACTAGTCGCACTCTGGTGACCAGGGCACTGCCTGGAAGTAGAAGGGAGTCCCAGCCAGGCAGGGGCTGCCTCGGGAGCTGGGGCCGGCTCCCACCAGCCCTGGAGGGAGTGCCACCGTGCGCACCTTTCCAAATCCATGTTCGGAGACTTCACGTGGGCAGTCGGAGATTGGCCGCGTGACAGTAATTACACCACGGAAACTGGCAAACACTACAAATCAGGGCGCTATATTCCTAGAGAGCCAGTGGTTAAACGCTGACCAGCACACTGCTGTGTGAATGTATGCACATGCATGCAAATCACAGAGAAGTCGAGGCGTGTGTTTCCCAAGCAAGCTTGTGTCCAGCACTGGCCAGAGTTACTGGGTTTGAAATGCAACCCTATATTCCTTACAAAGTTTCCAGACAGACGCTAATTCTCTGGCCTTCGCAATTGACCCAAAGTCTGTGGCTCTAAACCAGCAATTTCACAAGGAGGCTAATATGTGTTAATTAACGCCCCTTTCTGCATTGACGTATATGAATCTGGCCAAATACTACAAAACACAACTCAACCAGGTTTTTTTTGGGGGGGGGCGGTGGGAGTCAAGAAAAATTACCCAAAACTTGGACATAAGGCATGCCTTTAATGTCATTCTAGAGGAGTGGCTCTCAAACTTGAGTAAGCATCAGAGTCCTCTGGGGGGTGGTTGAAATTCATTGTAGGGCTCACCCCGGCTATATTGATTTGTTAAAGGATGGGCCACATGGCCTATGCCATGCAGTGAGAGAGCTCTCTGGGAATGTCACTGTCATCATCAGGAAAGACGCATCCAGCACTCAAGTCACATGAGCCTGGAGCCCCTGGGAGCAATCTCTTTTACTTCTTAAAATTTCACTAATTATTTAAAGCCTCAATTTCCCCTGTATGCCCACCCACCAGACTCAGCTTACCTGCAGCCCACAGGGATATTTCCTGCATGCCCAGTGATTGCGGGCAGCTGAAATCCAGCGAACTTCACCATCCAGACGGCTATGACCACACTGTCTTCAAAGGGGTCTGCATCCCAGCCTTGGGGAGGGGAGTTCTTTCCAACTGTCCCTTCCTTGGGGACTCTGACACAGCCCTAGGGTGTTCTTTAGATATCACTTTACACCTTCATAGTTATGGCCCTGATATACTTAGTGGTTATTTACATTAAACTTTTCCTTTTCAAATTATTGTGTGGTTTCTGCTTCCTGGTTGAACCCTAATGGATATGCCTTACATCCTGAAACCTTGCTAAATGCACTTATACGTTATAGTAGCTGTTATGGTTTTCTACATAACCAATTATGTCGTCTGCAAATAGAGACAATTTTATTTCTCTCTTTCCAATCTTCATGCCTATTGTTTTTCTTGCCTTAGTGCAACAGCCAGGACCTCCAAAATAATTTGAATGGGAGCAATGAGAGTAAGGATCTTTGTCTTGTTTCCAACTTCAGGGAAGAATTTTCAATAATTTCACCATTAAGTATGTTATTTAGTAGATAGAAGTTCTCTTCTATTGTTAGTTTGCTTAGATTTTAAATCACAAATGATTATTAAATTTTGTCAAATCCTTATACTACATCTATTTAAAAACCATGTGGGTTTTCCCCTTTATTCTATAAATACAGTGAGTTATAGTAATTTTCAAATGATAAGCCAACCTGGAATTCCTGGGATAAACTCCACTTGGTCATAGTCTAGTATCCTTTTTATACTGCTTTATTTGATTTGCTAATATTTGCCCTGTTTATTATTTTAAAATTAAGAGGAAAAGTACTCCTTTATATAACCCAGATATTTACAATTTCCAGTGTTCTTTATTATTTCCTAAGTGTCCAGGTTTCAATCTGTTGTCATTTTCCATCAAATTGAAGATATTCCTTTGGCACTTTTTGTAGTGCAGGTCTGTTGGTGAAAAAATTCCCGTTTTCTTTTTCTTAAAAAATGTTTGTGGTGGGAACGGTGGGGGCGGTGGCACGGCGGGGGCGGTGGCGCGGCGTGATGCTGTGTGTGTGCTGACGGCTGGAGACGAAGAGGCGGGGGTCAGCATGGAAGTGAAGGATGCCAGTCCTGCGCTGCTCAGTAACTATGAGGTGTTCCAGTTACTAACTCATCTGAAAGAGCAGCGTAAAGAAAGTGGAAAGAATAAACACAGCTCTGGGCAACAGAACTTGAATACTATCACCTATGAAACATTAAAATACATACCAAAAACACCATGCAAGCGCCAGAGTCCTGAGATTGCCAGAGAATTTCTCACAGCAATGAAAAGCCACAAGTTGACCAAAGCTGAAAAACTTCAGCTGCTGAATCATAGGCCTGTGACTGCTGCTGAGATCCAGCTGATGGTGGAAGAGAGTGAGGAACGGCTCACAGAGGAGCAGACCGAAGCGCTCCTCCGCACTGTCACAAGCGTCCTGCCTACAGGCCCAGCCGCTGAGCAGAGGAAAAACGCCAACTATGACGGGACAATGGACCAAGAGGACCCAGAGGAGAAGAGCGCAGCTGGCCCATGCATCTCAGGACTTTGAAAGGCCAACAGCCATTGTGCAAACATGCAAGATTGTTTGTTTAGTTTTACCCTCTACCCCAACAAACCATTTCATGGTTAGTTGGGTAAATCCCAAAAAGAAGCCTTTCTCAAAAACAAGATGAAAAGAAATACTTTGCGTCTGGGAGAAGAAACCTGGTGAAGACAGGCTGAGG